ATTGAAATGGACGGATTGGATGTGAAGACCTTAGTGAACCTTCTGGGAATCTTTGTTCTCTCTCAATTTCTTCTGATGCAGTATTTTTCACCTCTTGTTGCAGATATTCCTAGCAATGAATTAAAATAAATATCTCATCAGGAATGCCTGCAGATCCTCTGAATGTATTTCTGATAGTTGACTGCACAAATGTTTTATTTTTCAATCCGTTTAACATGAGCTTGTTTGCCTTGCTTGCTGGCGCTGGAGGAGCACTCTGAATCCTGAACACTGAAATAAAAATCACTGCTATTGTTTAAAACATGCAAAAATGTATCATTTATTCAAATGTAAGATTTGTAAGTCATTGAATTTCATGGGAGAAGAATCATTAGTCAGAGTGCAGGCTGCACTAGGGGTCATATTTAATTTATTTTCAAAGCCTTCATTCGTGCTTTTTGGTCCAGTGTGTCATAAGTTATTCAATACACAAAGGTGTCTACTTATGTCTCAAAGTAATTAAGCTGATTAAGTCATATTATCACTAACAAGAAGCATTAATTCCACTTGAGTGAATGCTGCAAAACAGATCCAGTGACATTTCCACCACTTAAACTGAAAATACATTATAGGCTAACTGGGAAGCAAAAGTTTCCCTCAGCCCTGGCCTGTTCTTCCATCTGATCTCTGTGGAGGAGTTGGCAAGTGATGTTTTCAGAGCAGTGAAAAGAGAAAAGGTGCAAAGGAGCAGAGGAAATCAGCACGTGACAATCATGCAGACATTTTTCAGTGTGGCACAGGCTAAGTTATTATGACAGAAGCTAAAGAATATTTATTTCTACAAAACATTTACCAAGATCAAAAAAGGAAACAGGAGGAAGGGATCTAGCCAGGAACAGGCTGCTTTGTTGCTGGGTTCAGGGAGACATTTAGGAGGCAATTTGAAAAGAAACCCAAATGGATCTTGACCCAGTCTTGAATAAATTAAGGCAGGTTCCAGCATCATGGAGAGGAGAGGAGAGGAGAGGAGAGGAGAGGAGAGGAGAGGAGAGGAGAGGAGAGGAGAGGAGAGGAGAGGAGAGAGAGGAGAGGAGAGGAGAGGAGAGGAGAGGAGAGGAGAGGAGAGGAGAGGAGAGGAGAGGAGAGGAGAGGAGAGGAGAGGAGAGGAGAGGAGAGGAGAGGAGAATAAATTCCTGGCATCTTTGGAGGATCTAATAACCACTGAGTGCCACAGACTGGGCTGGACCCATGGTCCATGCTGATGTTCTCATGGATTTTGGCTCTGTCCCTGCCACAATACCTTTGGGAACTGAGACCCACCTGTACCCATGGCTGTAGCCAGCCTGACCCAGCTGCATGCAGAGTGCTGTGTCCATGCTGAGGCTTTTTGGGGAATTTGCTGGCTGCTTCTTGATTCTGTGTGTGGCAGATGGGAGCAGATCTGAGCATCAGCCCCTCTGGGTCTTTCCCTCTGGCCTCTTTTCTCTCTACCTCTGGATTCGTTTTGTCTCTCTGGGACACATTTTCAAGTCATTACAGAGGAACAAGTGATGTTTCCATCTGAGCAGTCTATTCAGCAGCAGCAAAAGCACAAACCCCTGTTTGTGCTGGTGCCCAGACGTGCTGTGTGCCTGCCTTGCATGGCCTGAAGCATTTTGCAGCCAACTGCACCACATGGCAGCTTTCCCACTGTCCTAGAAGCAAATCTCAAGCTGGCTGGCGGGTCCCTGAAAGCCAAATTTGCCTCTGGATCTCTGAGAGAGCTGGAACATGTGAGAGAGGCATCCAGAGAGGGTTCTGCTGAGCAGATCTCCAAAGGAGCTCTCATGCCCAGTGCATTACCAGGCTACAGAAACCAGCTAATGCTCAGGAGTGTTAGCACAGGGAGAGTTGTAAAAATAACCAGTTGTAGGGCAAAGACCTTGCATTTTTAATGAAACCCTGTCCCTGTGGGAGAGCTTCAAAGGAGATCTCATCTATTAGATGGACGATTCTGACCAGACATGCCCTTTGAAGAGGGATAGTAGTGTGGTTGAATTAGATTTATGCAAGTCCTCTCTGCCCTAAAGCATGTCCCTTTTTATTGTCCTTTTTATCAATATGGTGATTGAAATGAAAAATTCAAACTGAGCTCCTGTCAGTGCAGGTTTTCCTTCAACTGAGCAAAAGCAGATTCGGGGGGAATGTGGGGTGCTGGGGCCTGGGCTGGGTGCTGGCTGCTCAAATCCCTTTTGGAAGGTGCCTGAACTGAACATGAAAACCTGGAGTCAGCAAGAAGTACAGATGTGTGTGTGTGTGTGTGTGTGTGTGTGTGTCATGGTCAGGAGTAATGGACAGGACATGGAAGCAATTCAGTGGGTATCAGTGAGCCTTGCTAGCAGGGATTAAAAAATGCCAAGAAAATACTCTGGAGAATGACAGGGGAGATGGCAAACCTGCCCCCTTGGTTGCTCAACCCCATGATTTTCCAAAGACAGAGATGCAAAATGCAACTTTCATATATCTGTGGTGTTTGGGGGTCAGCTTTGAGATCAATTTCCCTTTGGGAAGCCACACCTGGGAATCTGATGCAGAACACCAGTCCCATGTGCTCATTTAGCCCATGGATGCCATGGAGCACAGGCTGTGCTGGGTGCCTTTGCTGTGTGAGCTGGAGCACAGTGAGCAGCTGGGCCCTCCTGCAGAGGGGCTGCAGTCCTCTCCCAGTGCTGACCAACACCAAAATGCAGCAGAGGTACTGCCAGGGTTAATCCAGGAGAGGCTTGCTGCCCTGCAGGGGCTCAGGTCCATTTGATGCTTTTATTACTTCTTGAGGCTGTTATTAATCTTATTGTATCACTTTACATAATTCCCTTGTTCTTTTGAAGCAGTAGAACAGGCTAATACTGTGCAGAGGTCTCAGGCAAGCTGTTTGGGGTTCTTTTTTACCCTTTACACTCTCTGGAGACCCTTGAAGAATGCACTTGGCAGCATAAAATCCTTCATCCTACTGTCTAATTGGGACAGGGAATATTTCATCTACCCGCAGCCAGGCAGATGTGAGCTGGGACTGAAGTCACCAGCAGCAGCCAGGTCCCTTTCATGTCCAAAGCTTTGTCCTCCCGGGCCCCTGGCTCCCACGAGGCCCCTTTGAGAGCTCTCTGGCCCTGCTTCCACTGAAGAGCACATTGCCCCCTTGCAGACAAGGACTTTTCTGTGTTAATCCCAAAAGCTGCATTGCAGCCTCCCCGAGCCAGCCACCAGCAAGTTCAGGGTATGGGAAGGACAACCATGGCCTGGCCACCTCAGGACTTCATCTGGAGGCCAAGTGCTTCTCACATCAAACCAAGAGACATCCCACCAACAGATACAGGCTTGCCCATCCCCAGGGAGCTGCCCCTACACCTGGCACAGGTCCAGCTTATCTCTGTGGGCCCTGAGGCAAGCTGTGGGTGACTGTCCAGGGAAAAGGGCAAAATAACCAGAGAAATCACTGTAACAACCACGAGTTGTTCTGCCATTAGTGCCACATCCAGCCCCTCTCCCAGCAGCTCATGGATGCCCCCACCATGGTGCAAATCTCCCCCTGCCCGAGCTGGAGCATTGAGCAAGGAGCTGTGTGACATCTCCAGCTCCTTCTGGCCATGACCCCAAAGTGCTCCTGAGTCCAGGGAAGGAGGGAAGGGGACCTTGAGCCCCCAGAATCCAGGTGAAGTGAATAAAATGAGCTCTAGGCACAAAAGGAGCTCTCTGCTCCAGAAGTCAGAAGGACAGACGTATTTCCTGGAGCTGGGAGAGCTGCTCCAGGAGCTGTGCAGCAATCCCTGCTGTTGTGTGCAACTCAGGGACAGCCAGGAGCCAGGGTGAGCTATTAAAATACAATTTATTGGTACAAATCAGACAGAGTGAAACAAACTCAGTTTAGAAAGAGCTGTCATGTTCTGCACAGATGGATTCAAAATGAACTGTCCCATGACCAGAGCAATTGGCAATGATGGCAGACAGACTGGTGGACAGGTGCAGGGTGCACAAGGCAGGGGAGAGACTGTGCTGGGGCTGGAGTCCTGCCCTTGAGGGCTCCTGACTGCCAGCTAAAGGTTCTAAAAGAGAAACAGGGCACACTTGGAGGTGTTTGTCCTCTGCAGGTGGGGCCCCCAGAGCACCAGAGCAGGGGTTCCTCCAGGCATTCAGGACTTGGGAAACACAGAGATCCAAGTGAGGGCAGGGGCTGGAGGGAAGAGACCTGTGCTGGGGTCATTCCAATGGTTGGAAACTGTTTTTCATTCAGATGATATTGCCTTGGGCTAGAGAGCTACCCAGCAGGGCCTCACCTTGTGCATGTCTCAGGTGCTGAAGCTGGCAGCCCCTCTGGCCATGCAGTCCGTGTGTGCTGCTCCTGAGCAAGGCTGGCTCTGCCCTGGACCTGGGCTGTGTCCAGCCCTGCAAGTGTTGGGTCAGGGCTGGAAGAGAAGCACTCATGAAGGTTGGGTTTTGTACTCATTTCCCAGGGAAAAACAGACACCAATTGCTGCTCTGGACATGCAACACATCCTGCTGGATCTCAGGGACAGAACAATGGTCACTGCCCCAGGGGGTAAGGTCAGGCTTGGCTGAACCAGGCCTGGTCTGCACACACTTTCCATGCCTAGTGGGACAGAGATACAGGCATGCAGCTCAGTACATTCACACAGCCAGACAAGACAAAGAAGTGACAATGTTTACAGAGATTAATGGTCCCTAGGGGGACATGGGAATGGGTAAACTCAAGGCAGATTTGCTTAAATCTGGTCATATGGACCTCAAACAGCACCTGCTGCCAATACAGCTCTGCAAGATGAGATGGGAGAAACTCCCCTCGCCACCACCCCCCAGTCCCTGTAATTTTCAGTCTCTTGCTCCTTAAATCCTTCCCACATGCTCTGTTGAGCCACTCTCCCAGCATCTCCATAAAGTCTTGAGTGGTCCATACATGGAGGTGTGTGCTGTGGGTGGACCTGGCAGCTGAAATAATGCAGAAGATTGCAAGGATAGAGCCATCCAGGCTATTTCAGGTCGTTGTTGATAACCACACTGTCATGCATGTCACAGTAAGTTGTCATCTTCTTCCTCTTGCCAAAGGTGGAGAAGCTGTTTTTGTTCTCCCGGCCTGGGAAGAGGGGCCCATCCTTGCTGGAAAGCAGAGTGGGGGTGCCAGGGATGTAAACGTTGTGCTGATAATCCAGGGCTGGGTACAAGGGGCTGTAGTGGGGTGTCCAGATGCTGTTGGGGCCTGCTGAAGCCTTCTGAAACTCTGCAGAAAAAATGAGTGAAAGATTGGCTCAGGTCACATCCACATCCCAGGATGCAAGTCCTGTGTCACCAACCTCCATCCTGGTGCCTGCACACCCCTTCCACCCACAAAACTTCACCACTGCAAGGAACAGGGGTGTGATGCCCCCACTGCACCTCCAAAAGCAGCCAGAGGGTCTGGTCATGCCAGCCCCAGTATCCCAATACTAACCAGAGACAGGGGTCACCAGTGTGCACAGCCTCTCGTGCTCCTTCTGGAGGGCTCTACGGATTTCCCCCACATCTTCCAGGCTCTGGGAGCTAAAGAGAAGAGACTGGTTCAAAGCTGTGTGGGACATAACCTCCCCATTCCCATATCCCCATTCCACCTGCTTCCTCTGTTCCCCAGTGCTGCATTTGGTACCTTTTCAGGGCAGGTCTCTGTGTGCTCTGTGTGACTGGAGGCAGCCAGTCCGTGTTGGGCTGCTTGGCCTGGAAAACACAGGGAAGAGCAAGGCTGGTTATTGGGAGCCTCTGTCAATCAGCCCTGGGACCCTTTGTCAAAAAACCCAGCCCTGCCAGCACAAGGCTTCAGCAGGAGGGATGCAGGACCACATCTCCACTTTCCCTGTGTCCTTTGTGGAGAATCAAGCAGCACATTCCTGTTCTGGGGAAACTGAGACAGCATGGAATCAGCCTGTTCCCTCCTGGACCTTCCTCACCCTCCTGAGATATGGGGGTGGTTCTGGGTTTGTCCTCTGTCTCTGGGGGTTTTAAGCCTGTCATTCTGGGAAGAGACAGGTGGTTTTCCTATTCCTGCTAATTTTCAAAAGCCTTTCTTCATGTGCAATGTTTACTTAGCCCAGGTCTGAGGTACTAAATGGTGAGAGATGCAGAAATCAGCTGTGTGCTTGATGTCCCAGGAGGGTTGTAAAAGCTGCAGGAAAATCTAATTAAGTATTAGAGAAGAGAGTCCAGGGGTGCAAGGAGACATGTGGAGAGACTCTCTTGGCAGAGAGTCCTGGGCTCTCCTCGGAAGGGCTGGTTTATTAAAAGTCAGACATAAGTGGATTAGACGCCTCATCACTCTCCATCCTTGTAATCGTGTTTTGGAGGGTCTTTCATTGGGAAAATTAGACATTCCTCATTTCAATACCTAACAAATGTTGACATCAAAATCCTGCCCCGCAGACCCCACTCCCTGCCTGCTGGCACAGCCGGGTGCAGAGCAGCAGCCAGGCCCGGGACACTGCGGGCCCTGCCAGCACAGGGGCAGCAGAGCAGCAGCGATGCTCCCACTGTCCCAGGGTGAATTGTTTACCCGCGCCAAGGAGAAGCCACCCCCACTATCCCACCGCCCCCAGGGCACTGGAGCATCTCTGTTGCCTCTAATGGGTACAAAAGACGGTGAGAAGGGATTTCCTCTCGCCTCTGCCGAGCCCGGCGCTCCCCCGGTAATTAGACCCGTCGGGAAGCTCGGTGGAGATCCCGCTGCCTGACGGCTCCTAATTCCCGCACTGATCAAAGGCTCCGGTTGTTCTCTGGGAGAAGCCGTGCCTGGCTTCCCTCGTGGCAGAGGCTGAGGGAGGGGGCTGGGGGGACCTGCGGAGTGCTGCTAAGCACTGCTGGGCCTGACGTTACCTCTTTGGAGACCTGAAGATGCTGCTCTGGCCGGGACCGCTTCCCGGGGTCCTTCTCATTGTTCCGGGGGGGGCTGCAGGGTTTGAGGAACATGAAGTCACTCTGAGCAGACTCAGGACCAAGGCAGACCTTGTAGCAGTAGCCTGGGGGGCCGCCCGCAGGCACATCAAGGCAGGTGGCAGCCGCCGTCCCTGCAGGGGGCTGCGCCGTCAGGTTGGAAGTCTTCAGGCCATCAGAGGAGGGTCTGGACCCGGGACAGCAGTGACAGCGAGGTGGCGAGCAGCTGTCCCCCTGGCGGGAACGCCGCTCGCCGCGGCAGCGAATGGCTGTGAGAATGAGGATGGCGAGGAGGAAGGTGAAGGAGATGGAGCCCAGGGAGACAAGGAGATAGAGGGTGAGCGGGGAGGATGAGGAGACCTCTGGAGGGAGGCTGAACTCGCTGAAGTCGGAGAGAGTCTGGGGCATGGTCTCCACCACCGAAAGCAGGAGGGACACGGTGGCAGAGAGGGCTGGCTGCCCCCCGTCCCGCACCTGCACCACCAGCTGCTGCCGGCTGGCATCCTGCTCCAGAAAGGAGCGCAGCGTGCGCAGCTCCCCCGTGTCGGGCGCCACGCTGAAGAGGGTGAAGTCAGTAGCCTGGAGGAGCTGGTAGGAGAGGCGAGAGTTCAGCCCCGCGTCCGCATCCACTGCTGACACCGTGCCCACCAGGTAGCCGGGCCTGGCCGAGCGCGGCACCAGCTCGGTGGCAACGGAGCCGTTGCGCGGCATGGGGGAAACGATGACCGGGGCGTTGTCGTTCTGGTCCAACACAAAGATGTGCACGGTGACGTTGGCACTGAGTGGGGGAAACCCCGCGTCCTGCGCTTGCACCTGGATCTGAAAGCTGCGGATCTGCTCGTAGTCGAGGGAGCGCAGGGCGTACATGTGCCCGCTGTCTGAGTTGATAGACACGTAGGTGCCCACGGGCATGCCATGGATGTGCCCGTCGGCAATGGAGTAGGACAGGTAGGCGTTTTGCTGGCAGTCGGGGTCTAACGCGCTGACAGAGCAGATGGAGGCGCCTGGTGCGTTGTTCTCCATCACGTAGACGCTGTAGGAGGGCTGGAGGAAGCGCGGGGCGTTGTCGTTCACATCAGACACAGGGATGGTGAGGGTGCTGCGGGTCAGCAGGGCAGGTGAGCCCATGTCCCGAGCCGTGATGCTCACGTTGTACTCGGGCACGAGCTCCCTGTCCAGCGCTTGCGTGGTCACCAGCGTGTAGTAGTTCCGGAAGGAGGAGCGGAGCTCGAATGGCACATTGGGGCCGACCTCACAGCTCACACGCCCATTGTCCCCAGAGTCCCGGTCCAGAACACTGATGACAGCGATCACAGTGCCTGGGGGGGCATCCTCCAGCACGGGTGTGGACACTGAGGTGAGGGTCACCTCCGGCGCATTGTCATTGACATCAAGGAGGTGCACGAGCACCCTGCAGTGCACAGCCACAGCCGAGGGCCCGCGGTCCTTGGCTTGCACGTAGAGCTCGTGGAGGCTGGCCCGCTCATAGTCCAGGCGGCCCTTCAGCAGCACCTGCCCGCTCCGGGGCTCCACGTGGAAGAGCTCCCGGACACGTGGCGGTGCGTGCCCACTGAAGGAGTACTCAATCTCCCCGTTGGGGCCCTCATCCAGGTCAGTGGCATTGAGCTGGATGACCAGAGTGCCAGCAGGAGCGTCCTCAGGAAGGCTCACACCGTAGGAGGGCTGGTCAAAGGCAGGCACATTGTCGTTGGCGTCCAGCACGGTGACGAGGATCTGAGCCGTGCCGGAGCGCTCGGGGACGCCGCCGTCGAGAGCGGTGAGCAGCACCCGGTGCACGCATTGCTGCTCACGGTCCAGGGCGCGCTCCAGCACCAGCTCTGCAAACTTGCTGGCATCGCTGCGTGTCTGCACCTCCAGTGAGAAGAAGCCATTGGGGCTGAGGCGGTAGGTGTGCACAGAGTTGGTGCCCACGTCAGGATCCTGGGCGCTCTCCAGGGGGAAGCGAGCACCGAGCACGGCAGACTCGGCCACCTCCAGAACATACTCCTGCCAAGGGAAGGTGGGTGCGTGGTCGTTGATGTCCAGCACCTCCACCTCGACACGGTAGAGCTCCAGTGGGCTCTCGACGAGGAGCTGCAGGTGGAGCAGGCAGGTCCCCCCGGCCTCGCACACCTCCTCCCGGTCAATCCGCTCGTTCACAAAGAGGATCCCGTTCTCCAGGTTCACCTCCAGGTGCTGCCTGGCCCCGGCCCGCGACACGATGCGGAACCTCCGCGCTGACAGGGTGGACACATCCAGTCCCAGGTCTTCACCCAGGTTGGCCACGAAGGCTCCGTGCTCCAGCTCCTCCGGCACGGCGTAGCGCAGCTGCCCCCGCGCCGGGGGTCCGGCCAACAGGAGGAAGAGGAGGGAGCGGAGGAAGAGCTGCCCCCGCCCGGAGCCTGCTCCGGCCCCCATGGCCCCGCGGCAGTCCCGGGAACGAGGAGTCGCACCCGCGCCGCCGCCTCCGCCCTCGCCTTCGCTTGCCTCTTGCACTTTCAAAGAGTTGAGGGCTCCCGAGGGCGGCGGAGGAGGGCCTTGCCCGGAGCTGCGGGGCCGAACCGCGGCCACCGGCAGCGGCTTAACCCTTTCTTTGCTGGCCCCCGCAAGGGGCTGCAATCCGGGGCCACAGCAGAATCTGTTTACCGGAGCCAGACGCACCTGAGGAGGGGACCACCTTCGGGGAGATCCCGTTAACGGCGGTGGGAGCTCCAGCAAGACCGATCGCTGCCCGGGGCACCGGTATTACCCCGCAGATGCTGCGTTCGGACCCGCGGTAGATTAAGAGGAGCCCAGATCGCGGCTGCTGCCAAATCCCCCGGCCGCGTCCCCCGCCGTGCCGGTCCTAACCTTTACCAGATGGTTAAGCCCCTCCAGACTTGATTACATTTCCCTGCACACCGTTTTCCTTGTAATGCGGAGTTTTTAATTACAGGAGCAGGGGGATTACAGCCCTGGATAAAGCTGAGCCCATCAGCGCGGAGGCACAGAGACCCCCCCCCCTTCTTTCCCTGCCTCCTTCCCACCCCCGACACCCCGCTTGCCCACAGCCCCGCGTCCCAAATCCCGTTCCCCCACCGGGCACCCCAGTGTCAGCCCCCTCGGGCTCTCGGCGCACGACCCTGCCCAGAGACCCCCGGATCTGCCTCTCCACACCCCCAGCCGTGCCCCCACCGCGGGCACAAACTTTCCGCCCCCAGCGGAGGGCGAGGGGGAGGCGGGAGCAGAGCGAGCCGCGAGTCCCCCGCCGGCCCCCGAAGCGCGACAGACGGCGGCCCCTGCGCCCCCCCTTCCCCTCCCCGCCCCGGTACCGCTCACGGTCCCTCCGCCGGCCGATCCGTTCCGTTCTCCCCGCAGACCCGTCTCCAGCCGTCGCCGCGCCCGGGCAGCTCCGTGAGTCGCCTCCCACCGTCGCCGTCCCCGGGGGCGCTCGGTAACGGGACGGGGCGGCCGCTGCCCCCGCCCCGCGGCTGCTCAGGGTGCGGATAATCCCCTAACGATCCAGTTAAAGGCTCGAAGGGGCTCGCAGCCGCTTTAGCCGGGCACTGATATTTCACCGCCTTTGTCCCTCCTCACCGGTCCCCGTTGGGAAGGGAACCGCCGGCCCCAACCGCTCCCCCCACCTTGCTCCCCACGGGGACCCGAGTGGGAAGCAGGATGCAGAGCCGACCGGGAGACCGGAGGAGGCAGGAGGCGGCGGAGCTGGTGGGGTTTGTCGGGCTGGGAAAAGGATTTGGTCCCTGGGAGTGCAGCGAGACCCACGCGGGACGTGCCGCGCTCGTGGGGTCGCCGGTCGGGGAGGAGGGCAGGCAGGGCGGGCAGGTGGAAGGAGCGGAGCGCCTGGGGCACGCGTGGGCTCGGGCCGCTCGCGGGTGGAATCGGGACGGCTCCCGGTAAGTGAAGCCCAGCCCGCATCGGCAGCGCCGGTCACCGCCAGCCTGTCCCCCGCGCCATCTCCCACGCCAAGACCACCCCTGGCAGCGGCGTTGTCACCCCCACCCCGATCTGTTTCTTTCTAATCCCCCTCCAATCCCCGATTTGCGCCCCCCCTGCCCGCCCCCCTCTCTCCGTCCATCACCGCCCAGCCCTGCCGGGGCTGAGATGCCGGAGGTGGGATGGAGCGGGTATTGCTCCTCCGGGAACCCCCTCGGGTGCTGCTCAGGCCAGAGGGGGATTGCGGGTGGGGGTGAGACGGGACACAGAAATTTTCGGGGGTCTTATTTCATTCCCTCCAGTCCTTCTCCCGTCTCCGACCAAACGCATTCTGCAAAATCATTGGAGCGGCTCTGGTCCTATTGTTTGATTGAGAGTAAAATATTCACCACCACCTCCTGCTCCCCCAGGTGCACCGGCAGGATCCGAGCCCCCCCCCCCGGCTCCCTGCCCGGTCCTTCCCGCCCTTCTCCAGCTCTGCTTGGTAAGGCTCCCCCCACCCTGCACATCTTCATCTCTGCTTCCTTTGGGGAGGGAACTGTGTCATGTCCCCCCTTGCTTCCCTCCCCTAAGGGAGATCACAGGATAGTCCCATTCTGTTCCTTTTCCTCATCTCCCCAGACCTTGTAGTCCCTTCTAGCTCCCCTCCCAGACCCCACGATTCCAGAGGACCAAGGTCAAATGGGGTGGGGGGGTGGGAGGGGTTAGGGAGAACAGACTTGTTCCAGGGATCCCTTTCCTGAAGGAAATGGCTCGGGCTGGGGGTGCTGCAGAGGGGTGAGGAATCCAAAGAAGGAAGAGCCTTTTTTGGGGGGAACACAGCAGAGGAGGGTGAGCAGCAGGATGGGGGGGATGGAGTGGGGACAGTGCACCACTAACACCCCACTCCATACCCTACAGATTTTAAGGCCCCTCTTGTGGTGCGGAATAGTGCTCAGCTGCCAGCCCTGTTCTCCCGGGGTAGGGAATCAGGATACGGCTAGGAGGCTGTTTTTGGAAAATGCTGGAAGCTACAGGGGTTCTGTCTCTCTGAGATGCCTTGGCACAGGCGGGCGGGTGGCCAGCTGCCTCAGGTCAGCACTGACGAGCCTTGGCAAGGCCGGCCGGGGAGATCAGGGTGGGATGTGGGATGCAGCAGGAGACGCCGCAGGTTGAGCTGCCTTGGAAAAGTCACGCAGAGAGCGAAGGACTGGGAGGGGGACACACAAACAACACTCAGCTGCCTGTGGGCACTAAACCTTGCCCAGCCACCACCGCCACTCCATTTTCCTGCCTGCTGCGTTCGGGGGCAGCAGAAGGGGCTGAGAGAAGCGCGGTCCCTGCCAGAGCACAGAGCTCCTCCCCCAGCTGCCCAGGGCGGCCTCTGCCCAGCCGTGCATGCGGCTGCTCCCCCCTCGCTCCGAGGCTTGTGGTGCCCAAGAGGGCAAACACAGTGGGAAGGGGGGGTCTCCTGGTGGGAATGAGAGCAGCCCTGGCCCTGCAGCTGGGAAGTCACTCTGGGGTTGCTTCTGTAGGGTCTGGTGCTGGGGATTCAGTCTGTGAAGCCACAACGCTCTCCGCAGCAGGATGCCCTGAGCAGAGCTCCTTCCACTTCAAAACTTTGGTTCCCTGCCTTGCCTTGGGAGGAAAACCACTGTCCTGAAGGGGATGGTGGCTGTCTTGACATGTTTATCAGGGCTGGTGGGCACTCTGCCTGCCCTTGTGTGCTGGGATGCAAGATATGACACATGCCCATCTCCTTTCAGGAGGATGGGACAGGATGAGAAAATAGGGGCATGAGCTGGAGAAAGGAAATTATCATTAAGGAAAAAAATCTTCACCATGAAGGTGTCACAGGGACCAGATTGGGGTGGGGATTGTCATCCTGGAGATCCTCCTGAGCTGCCAAATCTAGCTCTGAGTAGGGATGCTCCAGGGTCCTCCAGATGTCCCAACACCACTGTGAACCTGGAAAGTTCCAGTCACCGAGCAGAGGTCACCAAAGCAAGGGAAAGAGCTGCCCAAAGAGCCCAGGCTTGCAGAGCACAGGTCCCAGATTTGTCAGGAGCCACTTCTCCTCACAGGCACCATGCCCAGGGATGGATGGAGCAATGAAGGATGCCAGGACTCCATTCCCACTGGAAGTCCTTGTCCATGGGCTTTGCTCTGCAAGGTGCTGGAGTTGCTTACCACCCTCCTCTTCCTCTGCAGTGGTGCAGGAAGAACTTTTGCACCAGGCATGATGTGTTCATGAAGTTCCAGGGGGTTTTTATGTGAGGATATGTCCCTGAGGTGACCAACTCAAGGCTTACTACTGGTAGCAGGGACTTGACTCTCCTGGCCCACACAGACACACAAAGGAACAACTGCCAGGGACAGATGGAAACTGAAACAGGCTCAGCTCTGAGCAGACCCTCTCTAGCTGTCACCTTCTTTAGAGCATTTCCAGTGGGGCCCAGTCCTGCTCAGCCTCTGAGGGAGCAGTTCTGACTCCCTGTAGGACACAGACTTCAGTGGCAGCTCAGGAAGCCAAGTCTCTCCTCCTGTTCTGCAGGGGTGGGAATTTCTTGCAAACCCAAGCTGCCAAAGGAGCTGCTCTCATGGCTGGTGTCTTGTTCCACTTGAATAACAGACTTGGGACCCAAAGCAAAAGAAGGGGTATGTCCCCATTATCCTGAGGGCTGGGGCTACTCACTTTGCTGTGGGCATCCTCTTAGAGGGTGTCCCTAAATTGCCCTGAGGGAATGTCTCCTTCCTGCTGGGAAGGAAGAAGGAACAGTGAGCAGGAAAGAAAGGTGGGCAACAGTGTGATGAGTGCCTGGGGGAAGAGCAGCTTTGTGAGAGAGGAGGTGATACCTCTCCTCTGTCAGGCACCAGTGTGACTGGTGTTGGAATATTATGTACAACTCTTGTGCCTGAAGTTCTGAAAGGTTAAAAAACTGATTTAAGGCATGGAACAATACCCTATAGGGAGAAGTGTAAGTGAAACTGCCTCAGCTCTGTGGAGAAAGAAACCAGAGGAGAAATGAGGGTAGGGCCAGGGAGGTGTTACCAGGAGGAAATGCTTTGGACAGTTAGAAGAAATGCAGAGCCATGGCTTCAGCCTGAGAGCTTCATGTACTGGGCAGTGAGAGGGGACCAAGGTGTCAGGACTTTTGATGGTGTCTATGTCTTTTGGTGTCCACAGATCCACATGAAACAAAAGATTCCCAAGTTCCCCACTGTATCATGCTAAAATGGGAAGACTGGGCCTGGGAAGAGTGGTTCTGATTGATCTCACCTCCTCCAGCAGAGAAACCACTGCAGCTCTTCTACTCATGTTGAAGCTGCGTCCCCAGTGAGGAGGCCAAGGGGCAGAAGTCAGAGTGGATGTTTCCTCTCCCCACAGACATCTTGCATCAACACCCAACCAAAAACTGTGTGCCTGCAGTTCACATTGAATCCCACATCCCTGGGATAGGTTGGTGGTTTCAGAAGGGGAAGGCATGAAAAGGCATGTTCTTCTT